GTTAGTGAGCAGATATGGTTGCTACTTTGTAGATTTGTTGCGTAAAGCGGCGAAAAGTTGCGGCCTCTTTCTAGAATTAATTCCACCCCTGGTGTGTTGCCGTTAGGTGATTCGGTTGTTAGCCAAATGATAGTGCGAGTTCCATTTGATAGTACCTTCATTTTGGGCGTTTGACCAAGGTACAATTACCCTTGGTAAGATACTTCTTAAAGTAAATTTAGCCCGTCGAGGGTTTTGATTCATTAGGTTGCCGCATGTCTTACTGAATCAAGGCACTACCAACTTTCACTTCGATTTTATGATTGTTTTTTTACTACTAGTAGCAACTTTTAGGAAGCTGTGATACATTATGTCGACTACTCTGGTATTGATCCATTGTTTCGTATCATTTCTAGTTAAGGAAGCCATGGAGCACAAGGAGACTGGATGCCAGGCTCCCATCCTTTGCATCAATAACTGCGGCTTCTTCGGCAGCGCAGCTACCATGAACATGTGCTCCAAGTGCCACAAGGAGATGATAACGAAGCAGGACCATGCCAAGCTGGCTGCCTCCTCTATCGACAGCATCGTCAATGGCAACGATGCTGTCATGGAACCAGTTGTTTCTGGCAACACAGTGGTAGCTGTTGCTCAAGTTGAGTTGCAAACGATGAACGTGCAGCCCACTGATGTTGCTGGACCTAGCGAGGGGGCGGCGGTGATCTCCAAAGGGAAGGTAGGGCCGAACCGGTGCAGCACTTGCAGGAAGAGGGTTAGACTTACAGGATTCAACTGCCGGTGTGGGAACTTGTACTGTGCACTCCACCGCTACTCCGACAAGCATGACTGCAAGTTTGACTATCGGACTGCTGCTAGGGATGCCATTGCCAAGGCTAATCCAGTGGTGAAGGCGGACAAGCTCGACAAGATCTAGGGTTTCCTACGGTTGGCTCAAGGAAGATTGCAACCTGTGGTACTTCTTCATCATGCGGAATTGCTGCTTTGCCCATGCCTTTCCCTTCCATGTTTGCTGCTACAATCTTGTTGTTCGGCATTGCAGTGCATGGTGCACACTTCCGCAGCCTGCCTCAAGAATTCTCGCCTCTGCTTCTGGTCAGTTCAAATGATTTGCATGTTGGCTATGTTGTGTAAGCTTTTATTTATGGTCGTCTCGCTCAGACGGTATTTGGCTTCGCATTTAGCTAGCTATGTGATGTACTATTGTCCCTGGTGTGTTACACTGCAACCAGTAATAGTAATCTGCAACTGTCCGTTAAATGGTACTGATGACCATTTGCATTTTCAGTTATTTTACTCTATAGGTGGTTGTCTCATGGCACTATACTTTTTTTGTTCATAAGTAAAGTGTTTTTTTGGTTGAATAGCAAATTGGAAGGACTTTGCATATCAAACATTGTTATACCTGCCAAATGGGAGCAGTCGTCTCAATAAAGTATCTGGTGAAATCCTTGACACATCTTGATTGCACTTAAACTAGTATAAGTTGGGAAGAAGATCGAGCAGCTTATTGGAGTACCTGGAAGATTATGAAGTAGAGTTTCTCTACAAGGAATTGGCCATAATGCAACTCAATACAGCCTTTCTAAACATCAACTCTTCATTCGAGCATCAGATAGCTCAGTTGAAACTTCAAAAATTATTTTGAGGACTGTCATTCATGGCTTTATTTTACTGTTCCATTTTTAACCCTCTGCAAAATTCCAAATTCAGTTGGTTGTTTCATCGCACTGCTTTTGTTGTGCCGACGATTCTACATCCTTTGTGCAAGTGCAACTTGAAAGGATAGTTCGAAAGATAGATGCACGTCAAACGTTTGTCATTCTAGGTTTCTACTTTGAAACATGAACCTGAGATTTTTTTTTTCACATGATCTGCGTCAACGTGCTGTGGAGAAAAACACTCCATCTTCTCTCACAAGACCTGCTATTGAAAGAATTGAAAAATAGAGATCTGCTATTGAATGTGATGAATGGTCTCCTCGCTGTCAAGAGTACTGCTTGGATCTTGGATCTCATTCATACTTCTCATGTCTGTGCAGCGCCAGATGCAGATTCGTGTTTGATGGTTACCATTGTACCAATCACAGGTACCTGTATTGCCGATCCACGCAGCTTGTTCGGCTTGCTCGTAAACGATCGTAAATTTTCAGTCGGGAACAGTGTTTTTCTCTTACACCAAATCAGCCAGCAATAAATAATCCACGATACGATACGGCCTCCCGAACAGGCAATCTAAGGTTTAGAACTAGACTAGAGGTCTTTCCTGTGCAACCATGTGCCACAGTATTGGCCTATACAAATTTAAAGAAAGAAAAATTCTCCCCAGCTCTCGAATCTCAAGTCAAATTCCTGCAATGCGCAATCTGCACTCATCAGATTCATCAGTAGTATGGGTGACCTTTCTATGGCCCAGTGCCACTTCTAACAGAAGACCATCTCTTGCCACCAGTGTCTCCATAGTGAGCACATCCGGGGCATCGTGTTTTGTTTACTTCAAATGCTTTACAGCACTACAGAATCCATGTCGTATTTTGTTTTCAATATGCAATCCATGTACGTTGATGAAAAAAGAGCTTCGTGTAACGGCCCATCTAGAATTGTCCCACTCTAGATTTTAAGACTCGACTCCAAAGTCCACTCCAGAGTCTTATGTTGAAGGTGTTGAGCAGAGAATTAACGTGTGTTTGGTTTTAAGATGTACTCCTCTGTTCTAAATTAGAAGTTGTTTTGGTTTTTTTTTTTCTAGATACATAGTTTTTACTGTATATCTAGAAAAAACAAAATGGCTTATAATTTGGAATGTATAGAGTTGTAGGATTGGATAGTCTCGTCCTATTCTTTTTTTGGATGTGATGATTTGGTCACATATTTGGTTGAAGAAATTGAACTGTCCCTGTTTTGTGTTTAATGACAGGATGCTAAAAAGTTGGATGAGGCACCTGACCCATGGGGCTCACCAGGCGGTTTCTTTCTTTCTTCCTTCTTCTTACTTACCTCTGTCACGTTCGCTTAGGTGATAAACCATGACTGAAAGTACCGTTGCCTGATTTGTTATGAAAGAAAAATATTGTTCGTTGGCTGAAAAAGTACGGCTTATAAGCCAAGCGAACAGAGCGCATCTGCAGCGCTCCCACCCTTAACAGTCAGCACTGTACCCTTTGGCTCCGTGCCAACATCTCCCTTGGCTCCACAACCACCATTGCTAACGTTGCACCTCTCCTTCGTTTTGTCTCCTACATAGTAGTGGCCCCACTTCCTTGGTGGCACCACCGAGCTAGTCAAGCTCGCCCATCAGTGTTACCCCGCCATCATCGTTCGATCATCCCTCACATGCGTTGATCGAACGACCATCACCACGACACCACAAGCTAGCCATCGGCGTTCAAGCTCACCACACGTAGCCGCCACCATTTGAGCTCACTTATGGCCTCACGCCTCACATCTAGCCAACGCGATCGTCACCTTCCTTGCTCATAGCCATCCCCGAATCTGGTCGGCATGCCCGTGCCACCACCGAAGCTCCCTCTGCATGCGTCGCTTCATATAAGTCAAGATGATGATGGTAAGTAGTGATTCCATTAAAGTGGTTTCAAATCCAATATCTCAAGGAAGTTGAATTTGTTGCTTATGGTCATGCATGGATCTTGGTACGCGCAAGAGTTTTTTTTTCTTCAAGGGAAGGGGGACTTACATTAAATCTTGGCAAAGTACATCCCTAATTACACATGAAAAAAATCTTAGCAAATATACATAATATTCTATACGGATTCTTCCATCGTCTTCTTTCCCAATGGCTTCCTCGAACACCGGAGCCAAAGTGTATTCCTTATGCCGAATTCAACGACCAACCCAAAACATTGGACATGTCATAAGATCAAATGCTTCAGAACCAATCCAAAATGCTTCTAAATCGCTGAAAAAATATCAGCAGTTGCATCGTTGGGTACGACATAGGTGAATCATCACCTCGAGACCTTGAATTCCTCTCCACGGCCATCAACGATGAGATCGATGACCCGGAGTCGTTGTCTTTGTAGGGGGCTCCCAGAAGCACCCCTCCCCTTCAGATAAAGGCACAAATTGGCCATCTAGCGATGAAATGGATGCCTGCAACGACGATCTTGTCATGACAATTACCGAAGTCATCGTAGGAAACACGACCCCGACCGAAAATCATCTGATTTTGTCAGAAGATTTATTTGGATCAAACCCTAAGCAACTGAAAAAACTACGAGGAATTAAAGAATCTGGCACCCTAAACAAGTTTGTGGACCTACAGTGATAAATATGCTGGGACCGACTTGAGTCCATGGCTAGATGGTGGTCCTTTATTTTAACGAAAATCATGAAAATCATGACGTAGTAAGGGTCTATTTGATCCATTAGCACTAAAAATCAGTAGCTATAATTAATACTAATAGATCCATCAGACCTGCTAATAACCTACTAATTATTAGCCGGAGGGTTATTAACTATTAGTTCTATTAGCAGATTTTTTTTAGTTAGTTCCATTAGCAGGTTTATAATTTAGCTAATAGATGCTAATAGTTTATATGTATATTCAACTCACTATCTAACCACATATTAGCACCTATTAACAGGGGATCCAAACATTCCCCTACTAAAAATTAGCTAACTAAGAAGTAGCATGTATTAGCTATTAGCTAGCTAATTTTTAGTGCTAATGGATAAAAACATGCCCTAAATATGTTAAGTTCTGCTATACTGCTACATTATGGTTGTCTTAGAAACCGAGAAATAAACTGTTTTGAGGCAGCAAACTAGAAGGACGCAAGAGGTGATTAGAAGTTAGAATTATGGCGACTGTTGGAAGCAGAGAGGGCACGGATCGTTTCATTCGGTGAACAAGGAAACTATTTTCTTTTCTCTAAACATTATTGTCCGCTACTCCACCTCCAATCCAACATTTTTTTTTCTTGGTTATTAGAGGCAGCAGCATCAACCTCAACCTCGACCTGCAGGTCTCATCGTCATCTCCTGTCATGCTACAAGGTTGAAGTAGATGGTGTAGAACTCGTCCCTCAAGGTGAACAATGGCTCCAGGAGGAAGCTCCTCTTGACCCCTCTGGCGGCGAAGCTCATCGGGTGGTACCGCCGCAGCGGCTCGCCCCGCGCGAAGCTCGCCGCCTGCCGGAACCAGTCCCCGCCGTTGCCGTGCTTCTGAACACCACCACCGGTACAGCCCACCTGGACCTTCTCGCCGCTGCCGCCGGCGACCAAGAAGCACCCCGGCCTGGACCCGAGCTCCAGGGACACCGAGCCGGGCACGCCGGCGAGTCCCGGCACGACGTTGAACTGAGCGCCCGAGCTCTTCTCCGCGGACACCGTGAGCATGTCCGTGACCACCATCCCCGGCATGTCCAACGGCTCGAGCGTCGCGGCAGCCGTCGAGTTCGTGGCGGTGGCGCCGCCCTGCGGGACGAGTCTCAACGTCGCGTGGACGGCGGCGTCGGTGCCGCCGCTGTCTTTGGGCCGCTGCTGCATCGTCAGGGAGCCGTTCACGGCGGAGAGGACGAAGGCCTTGCCGTCGGACTCTTGCGCGAGCGTCACCAGCTGGGAGTTGGACTCCGGAGGGACGGGGGTGATCCAGTCGGTGGCCGCGGCGGTGGCGGCGCCGGTCTTGGCGTCCCAATCTCCGGTGGTGAGGCCGGCGAGGAGGAACGGCCCGAACAGGACTGCTTGTATAGATGCGTACTCCGGCCGATCATCTGAAGGTTTCAGTTACACTACTCAGTTTACACGACTGCTTGTGTAGATGCCTACTTCAATTCAGTGTTGTCAATTGTCATAGAATTATCAGGGATTTCAATGCTTAAGAGTGAAAATTAGAAGTGAAAAATAAGTAATTATCCTATAATGAGTGCATCATTTGAAAAATTAACTCACACAATTTAATCATCAACAGAACTCGAGAAATTCAGACCTTTTATTGCTTCAGTCCTTAGGTGGATAGGTAATTGGAGTGACAACCGATCACCACTACCCCACTGCTTGCTGATAGTGAGGAATGTCCCTGGCAGAAATCAAGATTTTGTTAGAACAATCATCTCTGTAATCATATTCATCAAACTTTTTGTGGATTCTTTTTTTTTCCCTTCAATTTTCTCCTTCTGTTTCCGCCCTGCTGATGAGCATACCTGGAGATGCTAATTCCAGATCTTTGTCATTCAATGTTGCCTTTGCACCATTCAAAGATGTCCATGATGGTATTCTCACGTTCAATGTCGCAAACTGACCGTCTGTCTACACACAGTAAACAAACTGACTAAATGCTGATTCTAGGAAGGACCTTCAAAGTTTTGTGCCATGCAAATTTTACCTTTGCAGATATGGAGAATGAGACCTGAAGATACTGATCCCATGAGCTGAGTGGCATCAGTTGCTGTGTGACAGTAAGGCCTGCAGTCCTCCAATTGAACGTACTCGGTATGAACTGAATAATATATAGCGCTGGTCTCTCACCTTTCTCCTCAAAGTAAATGGAATCCCCCAGCTTGGAGAACGACTCTATCCCTGCATACACAACCCACACAGTTCAGAACTTGACAAAGTTCAGAACCAAATGGAATCCTCAACGTTTGGATTTTTGACTTACCAGTGCCATAGCAGCACCAGAATGATTCATACTGAGTTCCCCAACCATGGTAGCTCTTTGCCTTTGATCTCCCAGGGCCTTGGGGCAGCATGTAGATCATCACTCCAGGATCTCTGCCTCTCTGGATGCTCAGCACGCCATTGATTAGTGCTCGTTCGTAGTAGTCCGCGTACGCGATCTCCTTCGTCCATCTGAACAGATGGCGTGAGACCTGCAAGCTTTGTTCTGCAAATTGTAACTTGTCTCTGCAAATTGTAACTTGTCTCTAACCATGAAAAATTTCAAGTTTGGTGAATATGAATAGAACAGGTATACCCACCCACACCACCTTGAGCATGTTGTAAGTTGTGCAGGACTCCTCGGTCTCAGTGGTCAGAGCTTCAGCTAAACGCTTTGGATCGGACCTGACATAAGCCATTTCAGAATTTCAGACATGGCATTTCTGAGGGAAAAAAGGTGAAATTTCAGCCATCTATGATGCACTACCAGAATTCACTGACAGATGTACCACCAGTTGCATATGCGTGAGAAGAATTCACTGTGTCCATGAAGAATGTTGCAATTTCCTGGTTCAAGAATTAGGCCATGGTCAGCTTTAGACCTACAAGTTGCGTCAGACCAAAGACAAAGAGGCCGACTACTGGGTGGAAGGAGGGAAAAAAAATCTTTTTAGATTTGGTATTATCATGCCTTGGGAAATTAATTTTACCCTACCAAAATTTGAATTACCTTGTAAAGAGGATCACCTGTAACTTCATATCTCATCTGCCCGCCAATGACAACCGGAATATGTGTGTTGGCATGGAAATTCGAAAGACTGTCAGCCTGAAAGGAAAAACGATGGGGAAATATCATCTAGCGTTCAGAAATATGTTTTCCTGCCAAAACTATCATAGAGAAAACATTAGAACTGGCTATTGTGGTGTCAATCAGCTGATGTAGATGGTGTTTACTAACTACATAAGATTCAGACAAAATTGGAGTGAGAAATGCATCAGCAAAACGCAGAGGGCCAGGCAGGAAGGAATTGAGTTCGTCAGGGTTCAGAGTTTCAGACCTGCACTGCAAGCAACCCCAGGAAGCATGGCTTGTCGAAAAGATGGGCCAGCACCAGATGCCTCTGATCGTGCTGCGCAAATATTCAAGAGAACCGCATTATTAGCATTTAGCAGCTACCACAAACACTCAGGATTCAGGAAACGAATGAAATGAACACCAAATAAAGAAAAGCTGTATACCGTGATGGTGTAGAGCTGGTAGAGCACGTCGTTCATCCCTCCGGTCTCCTCGTTGAGCGACGTCCAGTGGCGCTCGATGCTGTACCTCCGGATGACGTTCCTGACCCGGCCGGTGAAGTAGTCGGCCATGGCGACCACCATACCCAGCGCCTTGCCGTTGCCGGCCACCACGTGCTGGTCGAGGAGGCCCTGCATGATCTGCAGGAAGCGCAGGATGCAGATGAGTTATTGCTCATCAGCATGCAGACGTGTGCAAAGGTAAAGGTAAAGTCGAGTGGTGATCGACGGCGACGTGCCTTGTGGATGGTGTAGTAGGGCGCCCAGACGGGCTTGATGGCCTCAAAGCGGTCGAAGAACTCGGTGGGGAAAGCGGAGAGGTAGCCCGTGCCGGCGGCACGCTGGCACTCGTCAAGCGCGTCCACCACCGCCGCCATCTTGCCGGCGAGCGTGCCGTTGTGGGTGCTCGCCCACATCTTGGCCGTCGCGCTCAGGTAGTGACCTGCGTGCACGAACCGGGTTCACTGTGTCGTGCTAAACTGCTCGTGCACGGACCGGGTTCTCATATGCGGCGGCCCATCACATTTCACGGGGCCCAATTCCTTTGTTTGAACATAACTGTGGCGAGAGAGATTAAAGAGAGATGCAGATGGGAAACCAGAACATCCCTCCGTTAACTTCAAAAAAAAAAAAAAAGAACATCCCTCCGTTTCACAACGTTTGTTCCTTGATTGAAGTCATAATAAAGAAGTGCGCTTTAGGTCTTGTTTTGAACCACGATTTGCGACCGTGCAATGCGGTATCCCATCCGCGGCTTTGAGGCCGCGATACGAGTAATCGATGGGGTAGTTATTTCGTGATTTTTCTCCTCACGGCCAGTCGCGAGAATCATGATCACCGTGGCCCTGTTCGTTTCTCTTTTAATCCGTACTTTTTATGTTTTTTTTTAGATAAAACATTATTTTTCTCTCACAACAAATCAACCGGAACATTGTTTTTGACTTGTTTTTTCAGCGAAACGAACGGGGCCCGTGAGGGATTTTCTCGATTCTCGTGGTGGGGCCCAGGAATCCGATTATAATTGGTTCTGGGGCCATAAGTAACAGTGCCAATGAAAATTCCACCTCGGAGGCAAATATGAGTGTGATTATACATTTTCTTTTGCGAAACACAAGAATATCATTATCATAGTGTATTTGTTCGCCACCATACCTTAAGAAGAGTGTAATTAACGGAGGAAAACAGGAATGTAGTTATACATCCTAATGTCATTTTGTGTTTTTATTTACTTGTTATTGAAATATGTTGTTTGCAACGTTCCTAAAAAAATTTTTCTATAAAAGAAACATGCTTTCATATAAAAGTAGGTCTGCAAGACTACAACGTAAAAAAACTAAATTAAATCGAGTCACATGTACCCCAACCCATTTCTTATTAGACTTGACGCATCTTATTTTCCAAATATATAATCATAAAATTTTTTTAGAAGAAAAATTAGGACATATTTTGTTGTTCACTTCTCTAATATTTTAGGTGTCTAGATTTTAAGACGACTTTAGGCAACAGTTTTGTACAACCAACTAATACAAGTAAATTGTTATTTTTATGATTTGTTTTTTGTCTATGTATCATAACATATCAAGTTTTTGTCCTTGTCTAACTATAGAAACAATTATAAATTATTAATTGTCTTTGTACCAATACAGATCAGATTTTGTCGAGTTTGTAGTTTGTCTAACAGATTTATTTATTTATTTTTGGAACAAAACATTGCAGATTATGCCTATGTAAATTGCAATAAACTAAAGTTACAATTTTAATAGAAAATTATATGTAATAACCGTCGTCTGAAAGGCAAGTAAAATTGAAGCACCTGAATTTTAGCAAATCCCTTTGTTGTTGTTGCTACTACTGCACGACCACTACACGTGGGTATGGGCTAAGAAAAATTGGCCTAACATAATTAATTGTGAGGGGGGAAATGGAAAACACTTGCTGCGCAACCAAACGAGTGGTTAGCCACAAGCATATGTAAGGCATCCTCTCAGTCCGTCCGGTGTCGGCGTTGTCAATATTTTCACGGGGGCATCTCGCTCACGTGGCAACATAACAACGAGGCACGAGATGAGAGTGGCATACCCTACAGCTACAATAATCAGCCTTTCCACTCCCATGTCGATCGCATTGTCGTGCTATTTGGACAAGATCGACAGCATCCACTCCCATGTAGCTAGGGGGGAAATTTGTCAATGATCTGCTCAGCTGGGAGTCCGGAGCACCAAGTAATGGCGCACAGTAATGGCCGTGTCCGGCCGCGAACGTGACGCCGGAGCATCTCTGCATGTGCATGCGTCGGCCGATCGATGCATGGACAGGGGAACGAGAGAGAGAGACAGAGCACAGACAGAGGGAGCGTGTACGTACGTACCGACGAAGTGGCCCCTGAGCTCGCTGTCAGGCTTCTCCCAGCCGCCGTAGGGGTTTCCGGGCGCCGGCAGCCCCGCCTGGGAGCGGAAGCTCCAGACGAGGCGGTCCACGTCCAGCAGCAGCAGGTACTCGAGGTTCGTCCGCTGCGCGCGCCCGTACGCCGCGTCGTCGCCGTCGGGGTCCAGCCGCACGTCGTGCAGGGACACCTCCTCCAGGAACGGCCCGGGCCCGGCCCCGGCGGCGGCGTCGCCCACCAGCTGGCCCTTGAGCGAGCGGTAGAGCATCACCCAGTCGAGCTCCTCCGCCTCCTCCAGGTGGTGGTGGTGGTGCCCCGCGGCGGCGGAGGCGTGGAGGGATCCCTTCGGCGGCGGCATGAGGTCCATCCACGCGGCCTCGTCGGTGGGGTTGAGGTGCTCGTGGAACAGCTCGCGCCACCGCCACTCCGCCGCTCCCTCTCCCGGCGACGCCTGCAGCCGCGCCCGCACCGTGTGCGACGACAGCTCCGTCGGGATGTTCGTGCACTCCTTCGTCCTCGCCGTCGTCGTCACTGCCGCCACCGACACCGCCACAAGCACCGCCCACGGCCACGCCGCACGCCACGGCGCCGCCATTCTTCCAACACACAACCCGCCGGCGGCACTGGCCACTGGCCACTGGCCACCACCAGTCCACTATCTACTACTATGCTAGTAGCTAGCGGCCCTCTCCGCGACACGCGCGCGCCGGCCGGCCGACGGCAGTGCGCGCGGATATGGCTGCGGCAAAAGACTGGCCAAGAGTGAACGCCGAGACTTTTATCCGCTGCGCCCACGGCGCCGGAGAAACGGACAGCGTTGTTTAAGTCTCAGGAGCTGTCAGATCAAAGAGGTACGGTGTGCGTGCGTGACGTGACCACGACGGCCGGGCAGCGGAATGCCACGGCAGTCGGCAGGACACGCGCAAGAAAGAACCCTGCTGGCCACCACCCGCTCAGACTCTCAGGCTCTGGCGCACTGGATCGATCGATCACATGTCGCCACAGGACAAGAGCTGTGCTTGTCGCAACGCCGGCTAGTTTCCTTTGGCACGTTGCGTCCCGTGACGGCCGGAGAATGGGAGCGCCGCGCGGGGGCTAGCTGGTAGCGGGGGACGGCGCTTCCGTCTTTATCCCCTGGATCGTCCAAGCAAGCAGGCATTGGCGACGGCGACGGCGACGACGACGACGGCGCGATTCTTGGACTCGGTGGCCTGGGGAGGAGCACGGAGCACCAGTGAAATTCTAGCTACGCTACACGCTTTATCTTTGCCGTCACCTCGTGTCCTGACCTCCGTTGCTGTTGGAAATCTGCCTTCTAGTCATCCCGTCGGTGGTGACTGGTGACCACCACCGTCGTTATACTGTGGGGGCCAAAAGGATACCAGCACCACTAGAATAGGCGGAAGGACGGGTGATAGAATCGGACATTTGAAGAAGGGCAACCAACCATGTTCATCACGCACCTAATTGGGCCGCACATATTTATGGCCATTATATTTGTCACCAAAGGGGCGGGGGACATGTGCCGAATTCTCGAGGATGGGCATGCCCGGTGCGCACTTTCAATATATGATCCTTGAGACCGGTCTCAGGTCCCGTTCGGCTTACCAGAACCTTGTTCGGTTTCTTTTTTTAATCGAACAGTGTTTTTTCTCACAACAATTTAGCCAGAACAATAATTTTCAACCAGTTTCAGTTAATAATTTGATGGCATTGGTTTCCAAGATTGTCACATCACGTAAAATGAAATAAAACACGGATGGGATACTCATTCTTAATGGAGAGTTTCATTCTATAGTTTCATAGACATTTAATTTTATGGCTGAGAGACAATTGATATTTGTGCCAAAAGAGTTTCGTCCCCATAAAACTCACTTCTTCACTCTTTTTTAAAAACCTTGCCCACATCATCAAAAAGCGCTTATGTGGCAGCTCATTAAATGCAAATGAAACTCCTACTGAGAATTAGTCATATGAGTGTAGGATCGAAAGCCATTCACATGTTCTCCCTTCGTCCCATCCCATGCTATGACATTCTAACTCTAAACAAGGAGATCAAGGATAAGTGAAAAATATGTGATGCATGTGAAACGAGAGAGAAAGAAATAGAGATAGAGATGTGTACAATTTATGTTATGCCAAAAACATCCTTTCTTGTCTTTCTTATCTCAGTCCAAATATCCTAATTTCACATCAAACAAACAAACAGATAAGTAAGATAATAACCCATTACTCATTCCCGACTCATCATGCAACATCAGCATTCAACACTATTTGTCATGGTTCTTTCTTGTGTGCCTCTGTCCTTCGATATATATTAAGACCTCAAGTCCTGGTGAGCTGATGAGGGCACAAGACAAAAGGGAGTTTGCGAAGGTTTGTCATGTGCAACCGTGCATCATGTGGTGCCCAAGCCGGGCAAAGTTAGAAGGAACGTAAAAGGTCGGCGGCTTGAGGGAACCCTCATCCCATCAAGGTGGCAATACCATATCGAAACAGGCAGATTATAGGCACCACTAATGAGGACAGTCCCCACTCAAACTTGTTATCTCTGATTTTATTGCATGAGAAATTTAGTTTGGAGGTGTGAAACCATGAAAGTTTTTAATATACGATCTTTAACAAAGATTCTAAAAATGAAGAATCTACGATAGGTGCAGTGTAGCAAATTGTCAACAACATAGTTAAAGGTGTGCGGAGCCACGGATGCCGTGGCCAACAATCTTGGAGATTATTCCATATGCGCCTTTTATATGTTGGGAACACCCAACTTGAATCCTGGCTCTCCCACTAACTCTTGATCGCACATGTCAGATTGATCCCAACTTTAAGTCTACCAACCATAAGTTTCTTTGCTTGCACTAATAGCCATGTGAAGAACTTGTGCTTCCCCTCGACACGAGCCTTCCATATTGATCCCAACTTAAATTGTAGTAAGACCCTTTGAGCTGGGCCAAGTATGCCGGCTTGGCGATACAAGCTCCATATGTAGTCCACTTCCATATATGATCATGTCAATATTACTGAGCTATCAATTCTACACCAAATCCCAAATGTGAACAAACTTGAGCATTTGTTGTACTAAATTCATTCTCCATTCTAGTTCATGTTAGTTAGACCATCCTTTTACCAACGGGTTCTTTCTCCATGTCAATCGATAGAGATTAGGTGCTAGATGCATAGGGGTCCTCCCATTTAGCCAAGGTCAATGCCATAACTTAACTTTTATCTCCTTGTCCAACATGCACACTCAGTCACTCATGCTCGCCCTGAACAATGCTTTATGTGTCTATTTGGTTTGAGGCCTACCAAGTAAAACATCCTGGCCTAGGTGTCCAAAATCGTACGCCTAGGATGCATGCCTAGCCCAGGCAGCCTTTTCCAGCCTCCAACCAAACATGCCCTATATGTGTTACCATATGACCGTTGTGTGCCAATCCAAGGTCAATCAGGCTCGTCCCTTTTAAGCATAGCCAATCCAAGGTCAATCAGACACTCGACCAAATCGATCGAAATCTAGTATGCCCAGCCCCCTATCTTTTGGCTTCATCACCTTCTGCCAATTAACAATGCAATAACCTCCACTTGCATTTTATGATCCCTTCAACAAGAAAGCTCTCCTTATCTTATCATTTTTTCTTTATTGCCCAATTCTTCATTGCAAAGACTATTAAAAAATGGACCGACATGAAGGACGTCACAAAGTTTACTGAGATTAATCTCCCTACATTATCCATAAATCTCGATTTCAGCTTGAATGTTAGTCCTTTAGACCGGCCAAGCCCAAATACTTGCATGGGAACTACAGGATCAAACACTTTAACATTGTATAGGAAGATGTCCAATTAAACCCACCACAAGAAATTGGATACTGGTCCCTGAATGCTTTTGAGCTAGTGCAACACGCTTGTTGCACTAGTTCTATTCTTTGCTACATCCACCAGTTCATATATACTATCTTTTCTAAATATGAAATAACTCTTTTTCAAATATGCTATCTTTTCTAAATGCATTATAAGCACGTAGATAAATCACAATAGGAAAATTAAGGCATGGGTTAGTTTCACTTTCACACCATATCTTTGCCATGCATCCAACGGCTATTTTGCTTTGGATCACCGGCCTTTGGCTCCCAAGTCCTAAATTAAACTGTCGACATAGAATTTTCGTCCCGTGCCGAGGAAACACGCAGCAAGCCGGAAGGGTCTGCTCGATGGAGCTATAGATCCTCTTAGCTTCAGCGCAGGGGTGGCCGATCCTACGCACTCCTCCCCAGACGTGCTAGTCAATTTGACCTTTTATTCGACAAGGAGAGAAAGTTCATCAGTAATTAAGGGCGGAACTTACCGGTGTTGCCAGACAGTCCCGAATGTGCAGCTATGAGAGCCGATATGAAAGGAGATCGACTAAATAGTCGATTCCAACACATTCATGAGAATAAATCGATTAAAGCTCATTGGGTTGTATAAGAAGAATCGGTTATCATTCAGGGTAAATATCATTATTCGAACAGATATTAATCAATGGCAATAAGATGTCAAGCAAGTGAACCTCGGTAAAAATCATTGTGTTCATCATATTGATTCCGAGGTGATTGGTCTTCATTGTTATCCACACTTGTGATTGATTGGTTCATACATCTACATGGCGATATAACCTTCTTGCCTACTCCTTACCTTATTGCAAACTAGTTGTCAAGCTCTTTAGTGTAGCTAGTTGTGAGAGCTTGTTTGCTTGGTTGGTGTGGCTCTTTAGTTAGCCTTTGAGAGCACACTAACATAGAGTAGTGTCATAGCTATTGTGTGATTAGATACTATCTAAACTAGAATTGCGGTAGGCGGCTTGCATTTTAAGTAGGCTAGCGCAACACTTGCTTCGCCTCATAATTGTCTAACCATTTTGATTAAGTATTGTTGTAGAAATTTTATTAGGCTATTCACCCCCCCTCTAGCCATTAGGACCTTTCACCTGGGTCATAGATGTATTACCTCTAAAATTTTTAAGCATCATGTCAGTCTTCATCAGATCTTCTAGTCCTTTGCGAAGTTTATGAAAAGTAGTGTAAGGCATAAGATTGACAAAAGCACCTCCGTCCACCATCATCTTGTTCATTGGCTTTCCATCGACAAGACCTTTCACATATAATGCTTTTAAGTGTCGATGTTTGACTGGTTTGTCAAATATTGCTTGCTGTACAACCGTTAACTTAGCAACTATACTCTGATTCATCGAAATCTGAATAAACTTCTTGATCTGCTGGAGCTCTGAATTCCGATGGCAACAGAAAAGCTATTTGGATATTAGCCGATGGTTGCTTCCTATCGGCTATTTGCTTGGTACGCCACACTTGAGTTTTACTGGAGGCCTAAGCCTGTTCCATCTCTTTATTCCTTAGGCGTTGCACCCTTCTCTTTTGGCTTCTTGTTAAACCTCCTGGGCACCACTGGCCTTCCTGCCACACATATCTTCTTTCAATGCCTTACTCTTCATGATCAGCCCAGTCTTGATCAACGACTCTTTTTCCAAGCCGATCATGAACACTTTTATTTTTTAAGCGCCGATCCATGTTATTATGACGATATGCATCTTGAGCAT